AGTACTTATAACCAAGCCTAAGCCAGGCCACTACAGCATCAGTCAGTACTTGTAGATGAATGGTTCAGAGAACCGACATGTTGATAAATTAGACACATGTGCAACTCTTGGGTATCTTCATTGAGGAAACGTTTCGCCACACAGTGGCTTCATCAGTCCATACGTAGGAGAAACTTGAAGAACAGGAGGAGAATGAGGTAATCATTCCCTCAACCTTGAGTCGATGTGTTCAGTCCATCAATCTTGAGTAGAATACAGCATATGAGCGGAGAAGCAGCTTATAAACCGTATGGCAGGAGAGGTGTAGCAGTCATAGGTGGTGTTACATTTGTTCAATGTGGAAGTAGGTCGTATGGACTGATGAAGCCACTGTGTGGCGAAACGTTTCCTCAATGAAGATACCCAAGAGTTGCACATGTGTCTAATTTATCAGTCAGTACTTGTAACCAAGCCTAAGCCAGGCCACTACAGCATCAGTCAGTACTTGTAACCAAGCCTAAGCCAGGCCACTACAACATCAGTCAGTACTTGTAACCAAGCCTAAGCCAGGTCACTACAGCATCAGTCAGTACTTGTAACCAAGCCTAAGCCAGGCCACTACAACATCAGTCAGAACTTGTAACCAAGCCTAAGCCAGGCCACTACAACATCAGTCAGTAATTGTAACCTAGCCTAAGCCTGGCCACTACAACATCAGTCAGTAATTGTAACCAAGCCTAAGCCTGGCCACTACAACATCAGTCAGAACTTGTAACCAAGCCTAAGCCTGGCCACTACAACATCAGTCAGTAATTGTAACCAAGCCTAAGCCAGGCCACTACAACATCAGTCAGAACTTGTAACCAAGCCTAAGCCTGGCCACTACAACATCAGTCAGTAATTGTAACCAAGCCTAAGCCAGGCCACTACAACATCAGTCAGTAATTGTAACCAAGCCTAAGCCTGGCCACTACAGCATCAGTCAGTACTTGTAACCAAGTAAGACACATGTGCAACATCTGGGTATCTTTATTGTAGACGTTTCGCCATCCAGTGGCTTTATCAATACAAATTCTAGGACATAACTTGAAGACAGTAGAACTATGTACAGAAGATGAGGTAATCAGTCCCTCAACCTAGGAGTAGGTGCGAATAGCACCATAACCTTCACGACTACGACAACTACTACTACTACAACTAACCCATCTCTTTGGGAAGGACCTACTTCCACTGGGGAATCCCGCCTACCAGTGAATTTGACCTCGTCTGCTTCACCTGACGTTACTATATAAGCGCCAGGATTCTTTCTTCTGCTTCAGAATCTCCACGACTATGGTGCAATTCGCACCTACTCCTAGGTTGAGGGACTGATTACCTCATCTTCTGTACATAGTTCTACTGTCTTCAAGTTATGTCCTAGAATTTGTATTGATAAAGCCACTGGATGGCGAAACGTCTACAATAAAGATACCCAGATGTTGCACATGTGTCTTACTCTCATCTTGTCGGTATTATATACCATTCGTACACAACTTGTAACCAAGCCTAAGCCAGGCCACTACAGCATCAGTCAGTACTTGTAACCAAGCCTAAGCCAGGCCACTACAGCATCAGTCAGTACTTGTAGTATAGTATAGTATAGTATAGTATAGTATAGTTGTTTGGCTTTTTTTATTACTTTGGTGAGAGCTTAGGCTTGGTTACAAGTACTGACTGATGTTGTAGTGGCCTGGCTTAAGCTTGGTTACAAGTACTGACTGATGTTGTAGTGGCCTGGCTTAGGCTTGGTTACAAGTACTGACTGATGTTGTAGCGGCCTGGCTTAGGCTTGGTTACAAGTACTGACTGATGTTGTAGTGGCCTGGCTTAGGCTTGGTTACAAGTACTGACTGATGTTGTAGTGGCCTGGCTTAGGCTTGGTTACAAGTACTGACTAATGTTGTAGTGGCCTGGCTTAGGCTTGGTTACAAGTACTGACTGATGTTGTAGTGGCCTGGCTTAGGCTTGGTTACAAGTACTGACTGATGTTGTAGTGGCCTGGCTTAGGCTTGGTTACAATTACTGACTGATGCTGTAGTGGCCTGGCTTAGGCATGGTTATAAGTACTGACTGATGTTGTAGTGGCCTGGCTTAGGCTTGGTTACAAGTACTGACTGATGTTGTAGTGGCCTGGCTTAGGCTTGGTTACAAGTACTGACTGATGTTGTAGTGGCCTGGCTTAGGCTTGGTTACAAGTACTGACTGATGTTGTAGTGGCCTGGCTTAAGCTTGGTTACAAGCACTGACTGATGCTGTAGTGGCCTGGCTTAGGCTTGGTTACAAGTACTGACTGATGTTGTAGTGGCCTGGCTTAAGCTTGGTTACAAGTACTGACTGATGTTGTAGTGGCCTGGCTTAGGCTTGGTTACAAGTACTGACTGATGTTGTAGTGGCCAGGCTTAGGCTTGGTTACAAGTACTGACTGATGTTGTAGTGGCCTGGCTTAGGCTTGGTTACAAGTACTGACTGATGTTGTAGTGGCCTGGCTTAGGCTTGGTTACAAGTACTGACTGATGTTCTAGTGGCCAGGCTTAGGCTTGGTTACAAGTACTGACTGATGTTGTAGTGGCCAGGCTTAGGCTTGGTTACAAGTACTGACTGATGTTGTAGTGGCCTGGCTTAGGCTTGGTTACAAGTACTGACTGATGTTGTAGTGGCCTGGCTTAGGCTTGGTTACAAGTACTGACTAATGTTGTAGTGGCCTGGCTTAGGCTTGGTTACAAGTACTGACTGATGTTGTTAGGTAAGACACATATGCAACAGTTAGGTATCTTTATTTCGAAACGTTTCGCCTACACAGTAGGCTTCTTCAGTCGAGTACAGAAAAGTTGATAGAAGCAGAAGATACTTGAAGACGATGTAATCAGTCCATCACCCTTAAAGTTTTGAGGTGGTCAGTCCCTCAGTCTGGAGAAGAGCATTGTTCCGTTGTCTGAAACAATATGAAGTTGAAGTGACAGGATGGAGCCTTATATAGTGCCAGGAGGTGAGACGTAGGTTGCTTTGGGAGGGCAGGTCCCTCTCAAACCCAGCCGTTCTCACTAGTAGAGGTTGTCGAAGTTGATGGTCTGTACCAAGATACCCTTGTGTTGCAGTGTCTGACAGAATGAACATTAAAATGGTATAAAATACCGACAGATTGTTAGGTAAGACACATATGCAACAGTTAGGTATCTTTATTTCGAAACGTTTCGCCTACACAGTAGGCTTTTCTGTACTCGACTGAAGAAGCCTACTGTGTAGGCGAAACGTTTCGAAATAAAGATACCTAACTGTTGCATATGTGTCTTACCTAACAATCTGTCGGTATTTTATACCATTTTAATGTTCATTCTGTCAGACACTGCAACACAAGGGTATCTTGGTACAGACCATCAACTTCGACAACCTCTACTAGTGAGAAACGGCTGGGTTTGAGAGGGACCTGCCCTCCCAAAGCAACCTACGTCTCACCTCCTGGCACTATATAAGGCTCCATCCTGTCACTTCAACTTCATATTGTTTCAGACAACGGAACAATGCTCTTCTCCAGACTGAGGGACTGACCACCTCAAAACTTTAAGGGTGATGGACTGATTACATCGTCTTCAAGTATCTTCTGCTTCTATCAACTTTTCTGTACTCGACTGAAGAAGCCTACTGTGTAGGCGAAACGTTTCGAAATAAAGATACCTAACTGTTGCATATGTGTCTTACCTAACAACATCAGTCAGTACTTGTAACCAAGCCTAAGCCAGGCCACTACAACATTAGTCAGTACTTGCAACCAAGCCTAAGCCAGGCCACTACAACATCAGTCAGTACTTGTAACCAAGCCTAAGCCAGGCCACTAAAAACATCAGCCCAGTATTTTGTAACCAAGCCTAAGCCTGGGCCACTACAACATCAGTCAGTACTTGTAACCAAGCCTAAGCCAGGCCACTACAACATTAGTCAGTACTTGCAACCAAGCCTAAGCCAGGCCACTACAACACCAGTCAGTACTTGTAACCAAGCCTAAGCCAGGCCACTACAACATCAGTCAGTACTTGTAACCAAGCCTAAGCCTGGCCACTACAACATCAGTCAGTACTTGTAACCAAGCCTAAGCCAGGCCACTACAACATCAGTCAGTACTTGTAACCAAGCTTAAGCCAGGCCACTACAGCATCAGACAGTACTTGTAACCAAGCCTAAGCCAGGCCACTACAACATCAGTCAGTACTTGTAACCAAGCCTAAGCCATATTATCAGTGGGTTATAGGTCTACTCAGCTCATCTCCCAGAACTAACAACAAAAATATTATATATTAACGCCAACATCAACTTGAAAATTGATAAATTTTATAAGATTATTTTATAACTAAAATAATCTTAATTTTATTATGTATAATGTGCTAAAATATAACATTATAAGTTCTTTAACTACTTGTTAATTACTGCTAAACCACTACTACCTCTGTTAATATATAAAAAAAACAAAGTTTAGAACCAACAATGATATACATGTCAAGTATTAAGTAGTCACCATCATAATGACTTTTTTCGTACTTACCAAATTAATATTGTAATTACACATTGTAAAATAAACAGGGAAATAAACTCCTTAAAATAAACTCCTTAATTCTTAATTAAGGTCCTTGTAATATCTTTGTATATTTGGCGGTGAATATATAGAATATATGTAAAATATTGCAAAGTTTTTTATTTTTATTCATATTTTTAATTTAGTTTATTTTGTTTATTATTTTTTTTTCAAATAATTTAAGTAATATGATTTGTAAATATTTATAGTTATGGTCGCTTCAGTTCTGCCAACCACGTGGTATGTAGGAACTAATTATGGAAAATATTTCTTGTATTTCCTTTAAATGGATAATTTAAAATAATTTCGGACTTAAAGAAGCAGTTTATGGGAGCAAAAATATTTATTATTACTTATTATTGGTTAAATGTATTGAATGTTAGGTAGTGGAACGATGTATATTGGGTGAGCATGTTGGTAATGATCCGCCGGGCGGGTTGGAAGGGTTGGTAACACTGTTGTATTGCTTATGAAGAGTTAACGTTGTTAGAGAGAGACGTTGTTGACGTTAATTTATGAAGTTGGTAAGTTACTTTATGAAGTTCAGAAGTTGGTAAGTTACTTTATGAAGTTCAGAAGTTGGTAAGTTACTTTATGAAGTTCAGAAGTTGGTAAGTTACTTTATGAAGTTAGGATAGGATTTCGTTCGGATTTTTACCCCCGGAGGGTTAGCCACCCAGGATAACCCAAGAAAGTCAGTGCGTCATCGAGGACTGTCTAACTTATTTCCATTGTGGTGCTTAATATTGTCCCCCAGGATGCCACCCACACCAGTCCACTAACACCCAGGATGCCACCCACACCGGTCCACTAACACCCAGGATGCCACCCACACCAGTCCACTAACACCCAGGATGCCACCCACACCAGTCCACTAACACCCAGGATGCCACCCACACCGGTTCACTAACACCCAGGATGCCACCCACACCGGTCCACTAACACCCAGGATGCCACCCACACCAGTCCACTAACACCCAGGATGCCACCCACACCAGTCCACTAAAAACCCAGGATGCCACCCACACCAGTCCACTAACACCAGGATGCCACCCCCACCGGTCCACTAACACCCAGGATGCCACCCACACCAGTCCACTAACACCCAGGATGCCACCTACACCAGTCCACTAACACCCAGGATGCCACCCACACCGGTCCACTAACACCCAGGATGCACCCACCAGTCCACTAACACCCAGGATGCACCCACACCAGTCCACTAACACCCAGGATGCCACCTACACCAGTCCAAATAACACCCAGGATGCCACCCACACCAGTCCACTAACACCCAGGATGCCACCTAAAACCAGTCCACTAACAACCCAGGATGCCACCCACACAGTCCACTAAAACCCGGATGCCCCCACACCAGTCCACTAACACCCAGGATGCCACCTACACCAGTCCACTAACACCCAGGATGCCACCCACACCAGTCCACTAACACCCAGGATGCCACCTACACCAGTCCACTAACACCCAGGATGCCACCCACACCAGTCCACATAACACCCAGGATGCCACCCACACCAGTCCACTAACAACCCAGGATGCCACCCACACCAGTCCACTAACACCCAGGATGCCACCCACACCAGTCCACTAACACCCAGGATGCCACCCACACCAGTCCACTAACACCCAGGATGCCACCCACACCAGTCTACTAACACCCAGGATGCCACCACACCAGTCCACTAACACCCAGGATGCCACCCACACCAGTCCACTAACACCCAGGATGCCACCCACACCAGTCTACTAACACCCAGGATGCCACTCACACCAGTCCACTAACACCCAGGTACCTACTTAAGAACATAAGAACGAAGGAACACTGCAGAAGGCCTATTGGCCCATGCGAGGCAGGTCCAAGTCTCCTACCGGCTTAAGCCAATGCACCCAACCTAGTCAGGTCAGGTCACATTGACTTAAGGGAGGAACACAGCAACCGACTTGGTAGCACAAGCTATCAGGTCCAACTCACACCCACCCACATCCACTCATGTATTTATCCAACCTATTTTTAAAGCTACACAACGTTCTGGCCTCTATCACTGTACTCGGGAGTTTGTTCCACTCATCCACAACTCTATTACCAAACCAGTACTTTCCTATATCCTTCCTGAATCTGAATTTTTCCAACTTAAAACCATTGCTGCGAGTCCTGTCTAGGCTAGATATTTACAGCACACTATTTACATCCCCTTTATTTATTCCTGTCTTCCATTTATACACCTCAATCATATCCCCCTAATTCTACGTCTTTCTAGAGAGTGCAGTTTCAGGGCCCTTAGTCTATCCTCATAGGGAAGGTTTCTGATACATGGGATCAACTTTGTCATCCTCCTTTGTACATTTTCCAGAGAATTTATATCCATTCTGTAATACGTAGAACCAAAACTGTGCAGCATAATCTAAATGGAGGCCTAACCAAGGATGTATTAGAGTTGAAGAACAACTGAGGACTCCTATTATTTATGCTTCTTGATATGAAGCCAAGGATTCTATTAGCTTTATTGCGAACACTTATGCACTGTTGTCTTGGTTTCAGATTACTGCTAACCAGAACTCCTAAATCTTTTTCGCAATCCGTAATATTAAGATCTACATTATTTAGTTTATATGTGGCATGATTATTGTCCTGTCCAACATTTAGAACTTTGCATTTGTCTATATTAACTGCATCTGCCACTTCTCCGACCACTGCATCAGTCTATTCAAATCTTCCTGGAGTGCTCGAATGTCCTCGTCAGAATGAATTCGACGGCCTATTTTGGTGTCATCGGCAAACTTGCCGATGTCGCTCTTTATGCCCTCATCTATGTCGTTTATGTAGATGGTGAACAGCAGGGGGCCCAACACCTGACCCCTGTGGAACACTGCTCGTGACGCTTCCCACTCTGATTTCTCCCCATTTATGCAACTCTCTGCTGCCTATTTGTCAACCATGCCTCTATCCAGGAAAAAATTTCTCCTCCTATTCCATGTGCTTTAATTTTCCTCAATAGTCTCTGATGTGGGACCCTGTCAAAAGCCTTACTGAAGTCCATATACACAATATCATATTCATTACCATGATCTACCTCCTCAAATACCTTAGTGAAAAAAAGTTAATAAATTCGTAAGGCAGGAACGCCCCTTTGTAAAACCATGCTGGAGATTCGTTGATTAATTTATGCTTTTCAAGGTGGCTACGAACTGCCTCAGCAATTATTGATTCCATAAATTTTCCACTATGGAGGTTAGGCTTATTGGTCTATAGTTCGAGCTAAGGACCCGTCACCTTTTTTTGAAAATAGGGATCACATTTGCCCTTTTCCACTTATTGGCACCATGCCAGTTTGTTAGTGATATGTTGAAAAGATTAGCCAAAGGTGTGCTAAGCTCCTCTTTACATTCCTTTAGAACCCTTTCATACAGTTCATCAGGGCCTGGGGATTTGTTAGGTTTTAATTTATCTATTTGCCTAAGGACCATGTCACTTGTGACCCTAATCGTGCACAGTTTATTATCATCCTGTTCTACATAATTTATCATTACTGGAATATCGCTGGTATCCTCCTGTGTAAAAACTGAGAGGAAGTATGTGTTAAAAATTCTACACATTTCCTTATCACTGTCAGTGAGCTGACCCGAAATGCCTAGCCATGCTAAGCGTTCTAGTGGTACACTCTGTAATCACTATTTTACAACATGTAAACCACACAATAAACAAATTTCTATAAAATCAACATTGTAATCCTTATAGAGAATAAACTTTGAATTTGAATTGAATTTGAATTTGAGTGGGCCATTCTTGTCCCTGATCTTACTTCTGTATACCTGAAAGAATCCTTTTGGGTTAGTCTTCGATTCTCTTGCAACTTTAACCTCATAATCTCTTTTTGCTTTTCTAATTCCCTTTTTTATTTCTCTCTTTAACTGAATATATCGATTTCTTAATTGCCCCTCTCCTCTTTTGATTTGCCTATATATGCCTCTCTTTTGACCAGTCAGATATTTTAATCTATTGTTCATCCATTCAGAAGTTGGTAAGTTACTTTATGAACTTCAGAAGTTGGTAAGTTACTTTATGAACTTCAGAAGTTGGTAAGTTACTTTATGAACTTCAGAAGTTGGTAAGTTACTTTATGAACTTCAGAAGTTGGTAAGTTACTTTATGAACTTCAGAAGTTGGTAAGTTAATTTATGAACTTCAGAAGTTGGTAAGTTAATTTATGAACTTCAGAAGTTGGTAAGTTACTTTATGAACTTCAGAAGTTGGTAAGTTACTTTATGAACTTCAGAAGTTGGTAAGTTACTTTATGAACTTCAGAAGTTGGTAAGTTACTTTATGAAGTTCAGAAGTTGGTAAGTTACTTTATGAAGTTCAGAAGTTGGTAAGAGTTCCAACAGTAATGTTTGGAAGTGTTAAATTAGTTTGTCAACATTATTAGTCTTCCTCTTAACTGACTTCTTATTTAAACTTTATGTAATAACTAAGAATAATTTACCTTCCTCAGCTTCCTCGGATCAAACTTCACTTTTAGACTCCCTGGCGATGTAAGTTTTATTCAGCTACAAATATACATAAATTATCACATGTATGTAGCTTAACTAGGCTAAATCCCTAGCAAAAAAAGCCACAGTGAATTAAGGTCCCATTGTAGTTGCTGGTGGCCCGGTGGCTTGGTGGCCCAGTGGCCTGGTGGCCTGGTGGCCCAGTGGCCTGGTGGCCTGGTGGCCCAGTGGCCATGTGGCCCGGTGGCTAAAGCTCCAGCTTCACACACGCAGGACCCGGGTTCGATTCCCGGCGGGTGGAAACATTTCGACACGTTTCCTTACACCTGTTGTCCTGTTCACCTAGCAGCAAGTAGGTACCTGGGTGTTAGTGGACTGGTGTGGGTGGCATCCTGTGTGTTAGTGGACTGGTGTGGGTGGCATCCTGGGGGGACAAGATTAAGCACCACAATGGAAATAAGTTAGACAGACCTCGATGACGCACTGACTTTCTTGGGTTATCCTGGGTGGCTAACCCTCCGGGGGTAAAAATCCGAACGAAATCTTATCTTATCTTCATAAGTGCAGTAAGAGGAAGGTGGATGTTGTTGGTGAAACAAATTAACTTAACATTTAGTTGGGATTTTTAACCCTGGAGGGTTAGCCACCAGGCCGCTTACTCTCATACATCAAGGAAATACATCAGCTAGTGTCTTAATGCCAATTTAAAGAATTTTAGACTTGCCATTGTTTGCTTTGCAAGACTTATTATACTTCTATTATACTTATAGTAACTACATAGAAATACTATGTTTTATTTAGGTGAGAAGTGCATTGTCTGAAGGTTTATGTTGCAGTTTGCAGTTGTTTTAACTATATCTGTCCTGGGTACCAGTGAAGGAGTCCTGGGTACCAGTGAAGGAGTCCTGGGTACCAGTGAAGGAGTCCTGGGTACCAGTGAAGGAGTCCTGGGTACCAGTGAAGGAGTCCTGGGTACCAGTGAAGGAGTCCTGGGTACCAGTGAAGGAGTCCTGGGTACCAGTGAAGGAGTCCTGGGTACCAGTGAAGGAGTCCTGGGTACCAGTGAAGGAGTCCTGGGTACAGTGAAGGAGTCCTGGGTACCAGTGAAGGAGTCCTGGGTACCAGTGAAGGAGTCCTGGGTACCAGTGAAGGAGTCCTGGGTACCAGTGAAGGAGTCCTGGGTACCAGTGAAGGAGTCCTGGGTACCAGTGAAGGAGTCCTGGGTACCAGTGAAGGAGTCCTGGGTACCAGGTCACACTACCTTGTTGAGTCTTAAATAATTTAACTTTTAACAGTAGTTTTTTCTAGTACATTTTGTAGAAATTAACCTAGGATAACCTAGGATAACCTAGGATAACCTGTTGAAGTACTTAAGATAATGTTTATTAACTACCCTAGGATAACCTGTTAAAGTACTTAAGATAATGTTTATTAACTACCCTAGGATAACCTGTTGAAGTACTTAAGATAATGTTTATTAACTTTACAGAACTGAAATAGATTGAAGCCAGTATAATGGGCAAGTTTCTTTCTCAAGTGGACAGTGAGGCTTCAGTAACTCCCATGTTAGACATTTTGAAAGGTAAGTTTATCCATCAGAGGAATACCATGCACTCTTAACATAATATAATAGTGGTACCCCGACTTTCGTACATAATTCGTTCCAGAACAGTTTTAAAGTGCCATTACCAAACTAATTTGTTCCCATAAGGAATGTAAATTACATTAGTCCACTTCAGACCCCCAAAAAGTACTTGCAAAAGCACTTACAATAATACACTTGCATAATTGTTAGAGCAGTATGAAACTTGGGGTACCACTGTAATCCTTCATTGTATTGTCAATAAAGGATTCCATTAATACATTTATCTTGCCATATAGTCAATATTTTATTCCATTTCCCTCCTGCTTTCTGATATTGTTTCAAGACTTCTCCAGGTTGGCCTACAGTAATATTTAGGTACTGCAGTTAAGCAGTCCGGTCATTCTGGGAATCATTTTCTTACTGCTGAAAGATTATGCAATAATGAATAGGCAGTATTACTCCAAACTGGAATCTGAAGGAATATGCAGAAGAGCTGTCTGCTCAAAATTATTTTGAAGGCATATTAAGATATTCAAGCAGACAAATATACTGGCAGATGTTTGACAGATTTCACCCTTAACCCTCATGGTGTTAAATGTGAGCAAGGTAACATTTATAAAGGGATTCAGGGAACTAGCAGGCTGGACTCCAGTCTGGAGACTGGAAGTACAGTACAGTGTTTGCACTCGGGAGGGATGTTAATGTTGCATTTTTAAACTGTAGTGTAAGCACACCTCTGGCAAGACAGGATGGAATGAATGATGAAAGCTTTTCTTTTTTGGGCCACAATACCTTGGTGGGAGACGGCCAATATGTTAAAAAAAAAAAAAAAAAAAAAAAAAAAAAACAGAGTTCAAAATGCCATTTTTGTGGAAATTGGTTTGTCACGCAACTTGTGCAGATATCCAAGAACTAGCTAAAAAGCATATTAAAACAGGGAAGTGTTTTTGGGTATCCCCAAATGAGATAAATCTATGGACTAAAATCACAATGGTATTAAAAGAGGATAACATCAAAGCTGCTTTCATTGAAAACCTGGAAGCTTTACAACAGGGGGGAACATAAAAGTCTGGCCTGAATGGTACTGCCCTTGATGCTGGCCATGTAGCAAAACTGTAATGCTGGAGGTGATGTCCTGGTAGTCAGTAAATGTGGGGCTGATAGTGCTGTCCTGGTAGACGTAATGGTGAAGCTGGAGGTGCTGTCCTGGGAGACAGTAAATGGTGAAGCTGGAGGTGCTGTCCTGGCAGACAGTAAGGGTTTGAAGCTGGAGGTGCTGTCCTGGGAGACAGTAATGGTGAAGCGGAGGTGCTGCCCTGGGAGACAGTAATGGTGAAGCTGGAGGTGCTGTCCTCCTGTCGCTCCTGTCTGCCCTCAACTATTGGTCACTACGACAAGGTCCTAGATGCACTAGAAGACAAAAAGAATGCAGTTGTAATACAGTGGACCCCCGCATAACGTTGGCATCGCATAGTGTTAAATCCACATAGCGATACATTTTATCGCTAAAATTTTGCCTCGCATAGTGCTAAAAATTCACTCAACGCGATTCATCCGAGACTCGTCCATGCGGCCTGACCAGCCTCACTTGTTCTGCCAGTGGCATTGTTTACAAGTCAGCCTCCGTGGTAACATTCAAGCATACAATCGGAACATTTCGTATTATTACAGCCTTTTTATAGTGATTTCACCTGAAAAATAATTGACCATGGGCCCCAAGAAAGCTTCTAGTGCCATCCCTACAGGAATAAGGGTGAGAATTACTATGGAGATAAGAAAGGATCATTTGCTAAGTATAAAAAGTGGAGTGCGTGTTCCGAGCTGGCCAGGTTGTATAGTAAAACCCCAATCAACCATCGCTTCTATTGTGTCCAAGAGAATGGTAATCAAGGAAGCTGTTCTTGCCAAAGGTTTAACTGTGCTTTCGAAACAGAGATCGCAAGTGATAGAAGATGTTGAGAGACTGTTATTGGTGTGGATAAATGAAAAACAGATAGCAGGCGATAGCATCTATCAAGCGATCATAAGTGAAAGGCTAGGAAGTTGCACGAGGATTTAATTGGAAAAATGCCTGCAACTAGTGGTGATGTGAGTGAATTTAAGGCCAGCAAAGGTTGGTTTGAGAGATTTAAGAGGCGTAGTGGCATACATGTGTGATAAGGCAGGGTGAGGCTGCCAGTTCGGACCAAAAAGCAGCCTGAAAAATATGTGCAGGGAATTCAAGGAGTACATAGACAGTGAAGGACTGAAACCTGAACAAGTGTTAATTGTGACGAAACAGGCCTTTTTTGGAAGAAAATGCCAAGCAGGACCTACATTACTGAGGAGGAAAAGGCACTCCCTGGACATAAACCTATGAAAGACAGGCTTACTCTTCCATGTGTCCCAATGCTAGTGGTGATTGCAAAGTGAAGCCTTTATTAGTGTATCACCCCTGAAACTCCCAGAGCGTTCAGGAAAAAGAATATCCTCAAGGCTAATTTGTGTGTGCTGTGGAGGGCAAACAATAAGGCAGGGCACTAGGGACTTTTTCTTATGACTGGTTACACCAAGCATTTGCCCCCACGAAAATTTACCAAACCCGAAAAGAAATTAGACCTGGTGTTAGACAATGCCCCGGGTCATCATACAGACTTGGCAGAGCGACTTTGTGGGGACATGAGCTTCATTAAGGTCAAGTTTTTGCCTCCTAATCCCACTCCTCTCCTGCAGCCCATGGCCCAGCAGGTTTATTGCAAACTTCAAAAACTGTACGCAAAAGCTCTGTTTGAAAGGTGCTTTGTAGTGACCTCAGAAACTCAATTGACTCTAATAGGTAAGGTTTGGGGGAGGGAGTGACTAAGAGGACCTTGAACTCTGCTTGGAAGAAACTGTGGCCAGAAATGTGTAGCCAAAGGGATTTTAAAGGGATTTGAGGCTAACCCTGAGAATCCTATGCCAGTTGAGGAATCATTGTGGCATTGGGGAAGTCCTTGGGGTTGGAGGTTAGTGGGGAGGATGTGGAAGAGTTGGTTGGAGGAGGACAATGAAGAACTAACCACTGATGAGCTGCTAGATCATCTTAAACAGCAAGAGGCCACACCTGAGGAAATTGCTTTGGAGGAGGGGGAGAGAGAAATTGAAGAAGTTGCCTACTTCAAAATTAAGGAAATCTGTGCAAAGTGGCTTGAAGTGCAAACCTTCATGGATGAAAATCACCCTCAGACAGCTATTGCAAGCCATGCTGGTGACTTTTAAACACTGACACTGTTGTGAAACACTTTAGGAAAGTCATAAAGGAAAGAGAGGTTCATGCCACTATGGACAGATAAGTTGTGTGACAGAAGTCCAGTGACTCTGAAGCTGGTCCTAGTGGCATTAAAAAAAGGGGAAGCAACCCCAGAAAAGGACTTGAAAACCTCAAGCCCTAATGGAGGGGATTCCCCTTCTAAACACAAAAACCATCCAGTCTCCCTCCCCCCATCCCATCAATCATCACCACATCTTAAAATAAAGGTAAGTGTCTGTAACTGTGCATGTTTTCTTAAGTTTGTGTGTATTAAATTAATATTTCATGGGGTTTAAAAATTTTTTTTTTCTTTATTTTTGGGTGTCTTGCACGGATTAATTTGATTTCCATTATTTCTTATGGGGAAAATTAATTCGCATAACAATAATTTCGCATAACATTGAGCTCTCAGGAACGAATTAATAGCATTATGCGGGGGTTCCACTATATATACAGACTTTGCAAAAGCCTTCGACACGTGTGACCATGGCGAAAATAGCGCACAAAATACGTGGTAAAGGAATAACAGGAAAAGTCGGTCGATGGATCTATAATTTCCTCACTAACAGAACACAGAGAGTAGTAGTCAACAGAGTAAAGTCCGAGGCAGCTACGGTGAAAAGCTCGTTCCACAAGGCACAGTACTCGCTCCCATCTTGTTCCTCATCCTCATATCCGACATAGACAAGAATGTCAGCCACAGCACCGTGTCCTCCTTGCAAAAGACACCCGAATCTGCATGACAGTGTCTTCCATTGCAGACACTGCAAGGCTCCAGGCGGACATAAAACCGGGAATCTTTCAGTGAGCTGCAGAAAACAATATGAAGTTCAACGATGAGAAATTTCAATTACTCAGATATGGTAAACACGAGAAATTAAATCTTCATCAGATACAAAACAAATTCGGGGCCACAAAATAGAGCAAAAAACACTAACGTCAAAGACCTGGGAGTGATCATGTCGGAGGATCTCACCTTAAAGGGACCATAACATTGTATCAATTCGCTCTGCTAGAAAAAAGGGACGGGCCGGATAATGAGAACCTTCAAAACTAGGGAGGCCAAGCCCATGATGACACTCTTAAAGGTCACTTGTTCTATCTAGGCTGGAATATTGCTGCACACTAGCAGCACCTTTCAAGGCAGGTGAAATTGCTGTCCTAGAAAATATACAGAGAACTTCATGGCGCGCATAACGGAGATAAAACACCTCAATTACTGGGAGCGCTTGAGGTTCCTGAACCTGTATTCCCTGGAATGCAGGCGGGGAGAGATACATGATTATATACACCTGGAAAATCCTAGAGGGACTAGTACCAAAACTTGCACACAAAAATCACTCACTACGAAAGCAAAAGATTTGGGTAGACGATGCAACATCCCCCCAATGAAAAGCAGGGTGTCACTAGCACGTTAAGAGAACCATACAATAAGTGTCAGGAGCCGAGACTGTTCAACTGCCTCCCAGCATACATAAGAGGGATTACCAACAGACCCCTGGCAGTCTTCAAGCTGGCACTGGACAAGCCCTAAAGTCGGTTCCTGACAGCCGGGCTGTGGCTCGTACTTTTGGTTTACTTGCAGCCAGTAGTAACAGCCTGGTTGATCAGGCTCTGATCCACCAGGAGGCCTGGTCACAGATCAGGCCGCGGGGGCGTTGACCCCTGGAACTCACTCCAGGTAAACTCCAGGTATCGTGAGACTAATATGAGTACAGTAGGGCCCCACTTATACGGCTGGTTAGGTTCCAGGCTACCGCCGTAAAGCGGAAACCGCCATAAAGTGGAACACCCTTTTATTTTCCTTGTAAATGCATATAAATGCTAGATAACCTATTTACACTGACATATATTAAATTAGCAATAATGTATTTACACTGACATATATTAAATTAGCAATAGAACTAAGCATTAAAAAAAAATGAAAAGTAAAATTACACACAGTACATTTATTACATACCTTTAATTACTTAATATGAATGTGTGAGAGGTGAGTGGCAGTGTTGTTATTGAATTATGAGATGGCAGACCATCATCCTAGCTAGCTGTTGATGTTGAAGGCTGTTGAAGGCTAGCTGTTGATGTTGAAGGCTGCTGAAGGCTGGCTGTTGATGTTGAAGGCTAGCTATTGATGTTGAAGGTTGCTGAAGGCTAGCTGTTGAGGTTGAAGGCTGTTGAAGGCTGGCTGTTGATGTTGAACGCTAGCTGTTGATGTTGAAGGCTGCTGAAGGCTGGCTGTTGATGTTGAAGGCTGTTGAAGGCTGGCTGTTGATGTTGAAGGCTGTTGAAGGCTAGCTGTTGATGTTGAAGGCTGTTGAAGGCTAGCTGTTGATGTTGAAGGCTGCTGAAGGCTGGCTGTTGATGTTGAAGGCTGTTGAAAAGGGTTTGGGTGTTGATGTTGAAGGCTGCTGAAGGCTGGCTGTTGATGTTGAAGGCTGGCTGTTGATGTTGAAGGCTAGCTGTTGATGTTGAAGGCTGCTGAAGGCTAGCTGTTGATGTTGAAGGCTGGCTGTTGATGTTGAAGGCTGGCTGTTGATGTTGAAGGCTGCTGAAGGCTAGCTGTTGATGTTGAATGCTGTTGAAGGCTAGCTGTTGATGTTGAAGGCTGGCTGTTGATGTTGAAGGTTGCTGAAGGCTAGCTGTTGATGTTGAAGGCTGTTGAAGACTGGCTGTTGATGTTGAAGGCTAGCTGTTGAGGTTGAAGGCTGGCTGTTGATGTTGAAGGCTAGCTGTTGATGTTGAAGGCTGCTGAAGGCTGGCTGTTGATGAAGGCTAGCTGTTGATGTTGAAGGCTGCTGAAGGCTGGCTGTTGAAGGCTGGCTGTTGATGTTGAAGGCTAGCTGTTGATGTTGAAGGCTGCTGAAGGCTGGCTGTTGATGCTGAAGGCTAGCTGTTGATGTTGAAGGCTTTTGAAGGCTGGCTGTTGATGTTGAAGGTTGCCATGAAATTTTCTTAAAGTAGGAAAGCATTGAACTTTGCCTCATGGATTTTTTTTTCCTTTCCCTTAAAATTTCTTTATAGCATGTAACATCATGGGAAAGGGTTGCATTCACTGTTGAACTTCGTTCAAAATTTGGATCAATCTTCTCAAAAATTGCCATTGCTATTTCTATATGGTTGATAGCTTCTTCCAAATCCTGGGTTTTCATTTCTTTAATGGTAACAGGACTATCATCAGGATGGATCTCCTCTTCTTGAAATTTCTTTCTTTGTCTTCAATCAGAAGAAGGTCTTTTGGGCTGTCAGAGCCTCATCATGAGAGAGAAGCAATTCTTCCACATCCTCAGGCTCCACTTCCAGTTCTAATTCCCTTGCCATATCAACAACATTTATACACACTTCCCCCACTGGATTCTCAAAACCTTCAAAATCATCCATAAGTTCAGGAATCAGATTCTTCCAAACACCTTTGAGTGTAGTTTCATTAACTTCATTCCGTGCATCTCTAATATTTTTAATGCCATCCAAAATTGTGAAACCTTTCCAAAAGGTTTTTAATTTATTTTGTTTAGGCCCAGGCATTTTATCACTGTCTAGGAAATTTACAGCCTTAATGAAAGTTGTGTTTGCAGGTATAAAAGCAACATTTATCTCCCTGTACATACCATGTAGAGCTGTAGGGTGGGCAGGGCATTGTCTAAAACAAGTAAAACATTAAAAGGAATTTTCTTTTCCTTGCAGTAAGCCTCAGCTGTAGGCTTAAAATAGTCCGTGAACCAACTTATGAAAAGATTGGCAGTCATCCAAGCTTTCGAATTAGATTTATAATAAACTGGGAGGCTGCCTTTTGCATAGTTCTTTAGGACCCTAGGATCTCTGAGTGATAAAAATCATCATAGGTTTTAACTTGCAGTCACCAGCTGCTTAGCTCCTAGCAAGAGTGTTAGCCTGTCTTTTGCAGCTTTGAAGCCAGGGATTGACTTCTCTTCCTTAGCAATAAATGTCCTAATGGCATCTTTTTTCCAAAATAATGCAGGCTCATCCACATTAAAAATTGTTGCTTGGTATATCCACCACATTCTATTATCTCGGTAGTTCACATGGATAATTTTCTGCAGCTAAATTGTCAGCGCTTGCAGCTTCACCCTGCACCCCTGATGTTGTGAAGTTGACTTCTTTCCTTAAAACCCATTAAACCAGCCTCTGTACCTGAGAATTTATCTTCAACAGCTTCCTCCCCTCTCTCAGCCTTTCATAGAATTGAAGAGGCTTAGGGTTTTGGACTGGATAATGGCTCTGCTTAAAGGACATTGTGACTAGTCTGATCATCAATCCACACCATTAAAAGTTTTTCCATGTCAGCAATAAGGTTATCAAATTTTTCTTATAACTTTATGGTCACTGGTGGGAGCACTTTTAACTTCCCGCAACACTTTCTCCTTATTGTTCACAACGGGACTAACTGTTTGACGAGCAAACCAAGCTTACGTGCTATCTCAGCCATTGACATACCTTGTTCACTAAGTTTAATCATTTCTAACTTGGCACTTAAAGTAAGAGGCTTACGACTCTTCTTTTTATCACAACTAAGCTTAAATGCCATCGTCAACGAGAGCCAAATTTGTTAACGAAGAGCAAACGAGAGAGAACGAGATACACCGAGCTCAGACAGCGTAAAAAAACAAACTGAACAGGTTGTGGACGATCACTCAGTCAGGCGAAATAGACGGTATTAATACGTGTCCAGTTTAATTCATTCATGTACATTTGTAAGAGTTTGTGAAACTTTTACCTTATAATATTTTTATTATTATTATAATAATTAAATCACGAAACAAATACTCTTACACTGTGTACAAGTTAGTACAGAATTATAAACAGCAACACTCCTATTCTCATGCAACACACCATTTTTAGAGTGAATGATGATATTATTATTATAATCATAATAAAAAAGAAGTGCTAGACCCACAAGGGTCGTGAATAGCTATAAAGTGAAGGTATACGAAAGGAATATTTTTCTACAGTTATCCCTAGTAACAGGTGACGGGCTAGAGAAAACGTAATTCTTCCGACACTTCTACAAACCATTTGGTAAACATCTCATATTTGTATAAATTTTTATACTGTGGGTGCATGTATCATGTTTGTGTGTTACATATTGTTTCTTATATAATTTTGAAAAAAATATCATAGATAGAATAAGGGAAATGTCTATATTAACGTAATATGCGACATTAAGGGACCCAAGAATTATTATTATTATTATTATTATTTTTATTATTATTATTTTTTATTATTATTATTATTATTATTATTATTATTGCATCAAGAGTAGGGACTCTTAGTGTTTTTTTAAAGTGTACTACATGCTAGCACAGTGTGTAAGTTTTTTTAGGTACAGGTGTAACACAAGTTTTAATTATCAAGTACAATACATATAAAATATACAATAACTTTAAAACACTTGAAATTTTGGAAAGTTTCCAGACATAATGAGATGTGCTCAGGGAGAATGTAAACAAACTCGGTGGGCCGCTGTGACCGTATTAGAAAGACAGGTGGGGGGAGCCGTATAGCGAGTTTTGGTCATAATTTGAAATGTCCGTATTAGCGGAACGCTGTAAAGCGAAACGCCGTAAAGCGGGGCCCTGCTGTATATGCTAAACAACTACTGTCAATGAATAAGTAAATAAATAATTACTGTAACTAAATACTTTATTGAAAGTAAATGAATAAGTTACAAACTTGCTCCCTTCGTGCTGGGTAACTATCTTGTGCTTCATCTCCAAAGTAATTAATTGCTTTTGCACCATCATAAAGCCAAAGTATCGCAAGTCAAACCAACGCGAGTCGAGGAGCACCTGTATGTTAGTTGTTAAACGTTATAATCGGCTGCAATGAAGATTTCCTACATTTATTTCAGAAAAGAAGAAAAAGAAGAAAAAGGTGAAGGAAGTTGAAGAATCAGAATACACAACCTATGAAAACCTTCAGCCTGAAGAACCTGTGGAGTGTAAGTAGATTTTATTTAGAAGCAGCAAAAAATATTGTATGTGTATTTTGAAGTCTATAACATGAGGCCTCACTAGTGAAGTATAGAGCTGTAAACTAACTTTTGGACTTCTGTTACTAATACTTCTTGAGATAAATCAAAGTAATGTTAGCCTAAAGTTGGATAAATTTAGATTTAGAAAGGACATACGTAATTACTGGTTCTCTAACAGTTGTGGATGCGTGGAGCAATCTTCCCAGTAGGGTGATACAGGCTAGGCCCTTGGGTAGCTTTAACCCTTAAACGCTCGAAACGGATCAAAATTCAAATTCGTAGTGCTGCAAAAGTAGATCTACTTTTTTTACATACTTCCAAATACTATAACAAAAATGTAGATTAAAACTTTTTACACGTAAAACAAAAAAATCTACATTTTTTACATGCTTTTAGATGTTGAAAAAACGTATGTAAGTTTCGACCGTTTAAGGGTTAAAAAGATTGGACAAATATGAGTGAGAGGGGCTGGGTTTGACTGGTGTGATTGGTTATGGGAGTTAATTCTTGGGTAGCTTTGGGTAGAGGATGTTTTGATAAGGACCTGCCTTGCATGGGCCAGTAGGCCTTCTGCAGTGTTCCTCCATTCTTGTTTTGATACGGTACTGTTAAATATAAAGGTTTGATAAAAAAAACCATTTTACTGGTTTATAGATGGTTGGCATTGCCAATTACAGTGGACCCCCGATTAACGATCTTCTTTCATTCCAGAAGTATGTTCAGGTACCAGTACTGACCGAATTTGTTCCCATAAGGAATATTGTGAAGTAGATTAGTCCATTTCAGACCCCCAAACATACACGTACAAACACACTTACATAAATACACTTACATAATTGGTCGCATTGGGAGGTGGTCGTTAAGCGGGGGTCCACTATAGTCTGCTGTAAAAATTTTAATTAGTTCCTAAATGCCCACTTTGTAAGTGCAGATCACTTAAAGAGGGTAGTGTCTTGATACCAGTCAAACACTCTTGATTCAAGAAATTAAGATATCCTCCCTTTCTTGGAATCTAATGTCTCCCCTCACCAAGGTGCTGTGTGACCCTTAATATGGTGGTCGTGCATAAGAGAAGACGGGCAAAATGATTCTTTTTTAACCCTTTCAGGGGTCAGGAGCTCTGTGTTCAAACTTGCTCTCGTGGTTGGAAAAATTTAAGAAAAAATACTTTCTTGTGAAATGGTGAATTGTTTTCTGAAGATAATAAAACGGTGCTAAATTTGATGGAAAACTGACGAAATTATGCCTTTTGCAAATTTGCTGTTTCGGCGACACTTGCACAGTGGCAGTTTTGCTCACTAGAGTCCATTTTTGTGCCAATTACACTATTCCAGTCTATCAGATTCTTAACTGTTTTGCTAGAATGCCTTCCATTCTATCAACTGTAAAAGAAACCACCCATTCAACTATTTAAACTATGCAATAGTCACTTGGCAAATTTCACACAAAATTCAAGAAATACCAGTTTTAAAAAGGGGTCCAGAATAAACAGTGCAAACATTCCTAGCACTAAAATAACATTTCCTCTTCATTAGTTAGGTCCCCAGAGGCCTCTCTGATAATACACGTGAATTCCATTTAGAATTTTTATTCACACAAAATAGAAAATTTACTGTTAGATTAGTGCATTATTGTAATAACTGTATAAGTAATGTCAGTGCAATCCTAAAAGCATATTAGACTGGACAGATGGACACAGTGGACAAGTGATGTCATTTGTGTACTCTGGAACATCAGCAAAAATAGAACATTCTGCTATTTTGAGCTCAATTTAAAGCTTCCTTTCGTCTTGAAACTGATCAGAATCATGTTTCTGTAATTTCTTCCATTCTATCAAATGAGACCAAGAAACTGAGAATACAACCATAAAAAACAAAATAAAAAATATATTGCAAAATCACTGTTTTAAACCAAAATTTTTTTTCCCCATAGTGCACTGCTTGCTGCAGGATTATTTTTATATAGTGCACACTTATTACATAGACCCATTCTCTCGTACCTAGGCCCAAATTTACTACTCGCAGCTTATGAGTGAGCTAAACTCCAGTGGCGTAGAACTACGGGACAACTGGAATTCAATGCCATAAGAACACAACCCACCCTCAGAGGAAGTGGTAAAAATGAAGTTTTTCTGAATAACTCTTAATTTCACAATGCTGTTGAAAATAAATGATAGCAAATTATTTAACAAAGCATCAGTATCATTACCCCCCATGTTGCATAGCCTTTTCAGGGATTAAAATTTTTTATCCAAATAGTTCTTTTTATAATCTCGTAATAGGGTTCTGTTTGTTGCAATTTTGAGAATTTACTTTAGAAGCAATGCCACAATTTCTAAATTTCATGCAAATTTTATTTTCAAGTATTGCCAAAAAAGAAGAAAAAGAATGAAAAGGAAGCATGAAGGAAAGCTGGGAGACTAATAAACTAAGCATGGACAACCAAGAGGATGTACGAAGCAGAGAACTCAGATAATGGAAACAGCGGGTAAAAGAGAAGACGAAGAAAAAGAGATGAAACACAGGTTAGAAAAATAAAGTGCTGAGAAGAAAAATGCTGGATTATAAATCCTGAAGAATGTGAAGAAAAGATGGTGAGTACTGCCAGTTTATAATACTCGATTATAGATTAAGAAAAAGGTCTCGGCTATAACATTTGTGTAGCCCATTACAGAAGGGCCTTGCTTATACAGCAGGTTTAGATTCCAGGCTACTGCTGTAAAGTGAAACACCTTTTTTTTTCCCTCTCAAATGCATGTAAAAGCCTGAGAACATGTTTACACTGAGCAGTAGTTAGGCCTAAAAAATGCATATGCAGTATACACATTACTGTTTTTTTTTTTTTTTTTTTTTTTTTTTTTTTTTTTTTTTTTTTTTTTTTAACAAGTCGGCCGTCTCCCACCAAGGCAGGGTGTCCCAAAAAGAAAATCGCCAAAAAGAAAATACTTTCATTATTCAACAGTTCACCTCTCTCACACTTAATCACTGTTTTTGCAGAGGTGCTCAGAATACAACAGTTTAAAGTATATACATACTCAGTGGTCAGTCGTCACGTGAGGTCACAGACCCTGAGCTGCTTTGGGGATTAGTGTGGACGGTTACAAAGCATGGCTTGCTTCTGCAGTTGGTTTTTTAAAATTGAGGTTGGAGAGTTAAGGAGGGGTCTTGCTTCTCCAGGAGGAGATTAGGAGGTGAAGGTCCACCTCAATGGGTCTGGGAGAGAGTGTGAGGTGGCTGGAGTTGTGGGGAATGAGGCTTCTAGCAGTGAGGTGTGCAGTCTTGTCTCTCGCTGTGAGGAGGCTGTAGCTGGGGGAGGTAGCAACGGTACCAGCAGTGAAGTGAGGTGACATTCCAGCACCTGCTACAAGTGGCGAATGGTTTCACAGTAATGGAAGGCGCATCAGAGGAAGGAAATGTTAAGAGTGAAGATCTGAGGTAGGAAATCGCTTCTTCTGTTCTTCAGGATGAATGTACTTCGTGGCCAGTGAAGGTATAGGGTACTACTGCCCATGGCTAAATGGAGGTAAGCTTTCTTGTGGTTGGTGACTCTCAGGTTAGATTATTGACCGTGCTTTTTGTAATAGGAATAAGAAGACTGAGAGGACAGAGTGTGCTTCCTGGAGCTGGTGTTGGGGGACTTTGTCAACAGGTGGTTTAATATCACGTCAGGTTATGGGAACAAGCCATTATCTGTCTCAGTGCTGGTGGATGGAAAGATATTGGGAAGTGTAGGAGAGAAGAGTGCTAGATAAAATACAGGTCAGCTATGATTACATTAAGTCTAAGGGAGGGTTCCAAATCATATGTAGCATCTTTTTGCCTAGAAGGGGAGTAGGAAATGAATGTTGTCTATGGGCACTTGGTGAGTAAATTGCTTGGCTAGACAGATACTGCAGGAACTTGCAATCCCATTCATTGACAACTGGAACAACTTTTTATGGCAAACAAGCTATGTATGCAAGGGATGGGGTACATCTTCGGGGCTGGGGAGGTAGCCGTGCAGACTCGATTGGAGAAGGCCAATTGGTGAAATGCCTAGGATTTTAAACTGAATGGGAGATAGAGGTATGGGTTGTGTGTGGGAAACAAGCAGGTCTGCAAACACTTGGGTTGGAAACAGGTAAAATGTATAAAAAAGGCATTCAGCAAGAGTTATAAATAAGAACATAGATAGGTCAGCAAACAAAGGGGGGACAGCATGAGGGCAGCAGGGGACTAGCTCCTTAAGGTTACTATTCTAATAGCAGGAGGTAAGAAATGAAGATAGATGAGCTTAGATTAATTGCAAGTGCAGGAAACATAGATATTTTTGCTATACAGACAAGAACCTGGCTTAATCTGAAAAATAGAGAGATGCCACTCTGAATGTCACATACAAGGCTATAAATTATTCCTCCACTGACAGGGTCAACAGGGAAAAGGTGTGTGGATGGAGTAGTAGGATGTATGTCAGAGACAATTTAAATTGTTGTGTTAGATCAAGTATTAAATTAGAAGCGTCAGCCACTGATCTGTTTGGTTACAGCTTCTCGAGGGACGAAGGAAAAACTAATTTTGGGTCGTGATTTACAGGGGACCCACAAAAATCTTTGATAGGGGAGTGCAGTAAACTTCTATGGGACGAAATTCGTAGGCATCTACATACGAAAATGTTGTGCTAATGGGAGATTTCAACTATAGACAGATTGACTGGAGCAATTTGACAGGAAATTTAGAGTCAGGTGACTTTCTTGATACGATCCAGGATTGTTTTTTAAAACAGTTTGTGACAGAGCCAACTAGGGGAAATAACCTTCTTGACTTGGTTCTTGCCATAGGGAAACACTAATTAATAATCTTGAGGTTTAATGATGAGCTTGGGAAAGTGATCACAAATCACTCAGTTTTAATATATCAGGGAAATTCCCTATAATGGCAATCAAGTCTCCGTCCCTGACTTTCGCTTGGCTGATTTCGTAGGACTGAAAAAATTACTTTGGGTGGGCTTGAACTGGAATGACCTGACTAAGGGTCAGGTAGGTGGTGATGGTTGCCGATATGATGCTTTCCAGGGCATAGTTCTAGCTGCTCAGTCAAATTACTATGTTCCAAATAGGGAAATCAGATCAAACAAAAATGATCCTAAATGGATGAACAATAGATTAAAATATCTGATTGGTCAAAAGAGAGGCATATATAGGCAAATCAAAAGAGGAGAGGGGCAATTGAGAAATCGATATATTCAGTTAAAGAGAGAAATAAAAAATGGGAATTAGAAAAGCAAAAAGAGATTATGAGGTTAAAGTTGCAAGAGAATCGAGACTAACCCAAAAGGATTCTTTCAGGTATACAGAAGTAAGATCAGGACAAGATAGGCCCACTCAAAAGTTCCTCGGGTCAGCTCACTGACAGTGATAAGGAAATGTGTAGAATTTTTAACACATACTTCCTCTCAGTTTTTACACAGGAGGATACCAGCGATATTCCAGTAATGATAAATTATGTAGAACAGGACGATAATAAACTGTGCACTATTAGGGTCACAAGTGACATGGTCCTTAGGCAAATAGATAAATTAAAACCTAACAAATCCCCAGGCCCTGATGAACTGTATGCAAGGGTTCTAAAGGAATGTATAGAGGAGCTTAGCACACCTTTGGCTAATCTTTTCAACATATCACTACAAACTGGCATGGTGCCAGATAAGTGGAAAATGGCAAATGTGATACCTATTTCAAAACAGGTGACAGGTCCTTAGCTTCGAACTATAGACCAATAAGCCTAACCTCCATAGTGGGAAAAATTTATGGAATCAATAATTGCCGAGGCAGTTCGTAGCCACCTTGAAAAGCATAAATTAATCAATGAATCTCAGCATGGTTTTACAAAGGGGCGTTCCTGCCTTACGAATTTATTAACTTTTTTCACTAAGGTATTTGAGGAGGTAGATCATGGTAATGAATATGATATTGTGTATATGGACTTCAGTAAGGCTTTTGACAGGGTCCCACATCAGAGACTATTGAGGAAAATTAAAGCACATGGAATAGGAGGAGAAATTTTTTCCTGGATAGAGGCATGGTTGACAAAATAGGCAGCAGAGAGTTTGCATAAAGGGGAGAATCAGAGTGGGGAAGCGTCACGAGCGGTTGTTCCACAGGGGTCAGTGTTGGGCCCCCTGCTGTTCACAATCTACATAAACGACATAGATGAGGGCATAAAGAGCGACATCGGCAAGTTTTGCCGATGACACCAAAATAGGCCGTCGAATTCATTCTGACGAGGACATTCGAGCACTCCAGGAAGATTTGAATAGACTGATGCAGTGGTCGGAGAAGTGGCAGATGCAGTTTAATATAGACAAATGCAAAGTTCTAAATGTTGGACAGGACAATAACCATGCCACATATAAACTAAATAATGTAGATCTTAATATTACGGATTGCGAAAAAGATTTAGGAGTTCTGGTTAGCAGTAATCTGAAACCAAGACAACAGTGCATAAGTGTTCGCAATAAAGCTATAGAATCCTTGGCTTCATATCAAGAAGCATAAATAATAGGAGTCCTCAGGTTGTTCTTCAACTCTATACATCCTTGGTTAGGCCTCATTTAGATTATGCTACACAGTTTTGGTCACGTATTACAGAATGGATATAAATTCTCTGGAAAATGTACAAAGGAGGATGACAAAGTTGATCCCATGTATCAGAAACCTTCCCTATGAGGATAGACTAAGGGCCCTGAAACTGCACTCTCTAGAAAGACGTAGAATTAGGGGGGATATGATTGAGGTGTATAATGGAAGACAGGAATAAATAAAGGGGATGTAATAGTGTGCTGAAAATATCTAGCCTAGACAGGACTCGCAGCAATGGTTTTAAGTGGAAAAATTCAGATTCAGGAAGGATATAGGAAAGTACTGGTTTGGTAATAGAGTTGTGGATGAGTGGAACAAACTCCCAAATACCGTTATAGAGGCCAGAACGTTGTGTAGCTTTAAAAATAGGTTGGATAAATACATGAGTAGATGTGGGTGGGTGTGAGTTAGACCTGATAGCTTGTGCTACCAGGTCGGTTGCCGTGTTCCTCCCTTAAGTCAATGTGACCTGACCTGACTAGGTTGGGTGCATTGGCTTAAGCCGGTAGGAGACTTGGACCTGCCTTGCATGGGCCAGTAGGCCTTCTGCAGTGTTCCTTCGTTCTTATGTTCTTATGTTCTTAAAGATGCACAACACATCCCTCCAAACTGCCATATCCCAAACCCCCTCCTTTAAATTGCAGACATTGTACTTCCCATTTCCAGGACTAGTCTGGCTATATAAAATAACCGGTTTCCCCAAATCCCTTCACTAAATATTACTCTGCTCACACTCCGACAGCTCATCAGTTCCCAAATACCATTCGTCTCCATTCACTC